AGTAGATGAGTGAATAAAAAAGCTGTGGAACAATGACACAATGGGATAGTACTCAGCCATAAAAATGGAAGGAAATCTTATTCTTGGTGCCAGCAAGAGTATTATGCTAAGTGAAATTAGCCAGTCAGAGAAAGACAAATGCCATATAATTTCACTTACATGTGGAATCTAATGAACAAAATAAACTAACAATCAAAATGGAAACAGGCTATAGAAACAGAGAACAGACTCAATGCCATCAGAGGGGAAGGAGGTCACAGGGCTGGGTGGAAAAGGTGAGGGGATTAAGCAAACACGCAAACACACACACACACACTCACAGACAGACAACAGTATGGTGATTACCTGAGGGAAAAAGTAGGGGGAGGTTGAAGAGGGTATAGGCGGGATACATGGTGATGGAAGGCGACTTGACTTGGGGTGGTGAACACACAATACAATATACACATGATGAATTATAGAATTGTACCCCTGAGACCTATATAATTTTAACCAACCCCAGTAAGTCAGTAAAAAAAGAAAAAGTGACACAGTTCTTTTTCAAGGAGCTGTCAAGGGAGCTCAACAGCCAAAGGGGAAATGACTAGGCAGGGCTGCCAAAGGTAGCTTCTGAGTGTCCACCTGGGAACGGGAAGGACGCAGCCAGGTGGGGTGGAGGGAGTGGAAGCCCGTCCCACCTGCGCGCAGGGAACTTTTCTGGACCATAAACCCCGTGAAAGCAAGAGCCTCCCATGTGATCCCCAGATTTGGCGCCAGACTCTTCCTCGTATGGCTCTTACCTCGGCTGCTGGTGCCTGTATTGCAGGAAGCCGGGGGCGTGCGCGCTGGGGAGGATGAGTTCGGTGCAAGCTTTGAAAGTGCCAGACTCCAGCTATATTTCATAAAGCGAGGCACTGCCTAAGGAGGCGGGTCGGACCTAGGTCTTCCTTTACCCTGTCCCCCGGCACAGTGCAAAGGTCCCCAACGTTTTCCTGTCCCACATTTCTGAGCCATGGGACGTTCCCACTCGGTTCGCGCGGCCACACTGAACGCCAGGGGCAGCAGCCTCCGCGCTGAGGACTCCGCACACCGGGATCTTCACAGTCGGCCCCTCCCCGGAGTTCTCGAGGGTTCTCGTCAGTCGGCCCGCGGCAAGCCCCAGCGTTCACCTGGGAGGAGTCGACCTCTGCCGACTCTACCAACTGAATAGCGTAGGGGTGGGGAGGCTGAACATGCTGGGATGAAGGTCATAACACGGAAAGTGAAACTCCATTAAATAACAAATAAAACCTCATTGTCATTTTAAACGTGTCGCGGGGCTCGTGTCTTCTCAGAGAAGTAGGCACTTCCATCTTCCAAGCGAAAACCGACTCAGGCCTCCCCTGGCGCCTGGCGCGCTGGGCCTTGGTCTCTCCCGCGCCGGGCGACCCCGGGGTCACGTGCTCCCCCTGTCCTTCTGGAGGAAC